GGGGGGGGGATTTATTAAACCTTGCAGTGGGGTTTTCCATGGACTGAAAGGATTAAGTGCTCATTTTTGTCTAGGTGCTAAAAAAAACTTGTACTCACCAAAACAGTCGAGATGACTCCTTGCTTCTCCAGTCACTGAAGCGGGCCTCCTCCTCCACTGCACAGATGGAATGTTTCTCAGTGTCCTCGCATCTATACATCTGTATAGAACGTGATGACACAAGTATTCTTAGAGAGGGGAGAGAGGCTCTACGGCCCTGTTTAAGAACAAGCTAGCTCAGATGATCGGGTGAGTATAACTTTTTTATTAGCGCCTAGACACAAATTGGCAGTTGACCCTTGCAGTGCGGGGGTAGCCCCACTGCAAGGGTTAATACAATTTTCCCCCTGAGTTCTTCGTTAAGGAAAAAATAAGTATCAAAGCCAGGCACTATGTGGTGCACCATACTCATATAGTAATTAAGAACTTACTTTCCCTTTTCAGACTGAGCCAAATCCTTTGGATTTTGTGGCTCACATGCACCCCCTCCCAAATATTGCAGCTCATCAATAGAATACAACCACATTTTACTAAAATAAAGTGTTATGGATTACTGTACCTTCCATAGGCGGTAACACATCTTCAACAGTACTATTTGCCTTGTTGTCGGTATGTCTTATTTTTTAAGTTTATAAATTACTTTGAATTATGAAATAAATAATGGCCCAGGAAGGATTTTTACTTGCCAAATTTAGAATAATAATCTTGTAACATTAATGTAGTCTGTGACTCTATTAATTAATGTGAGATTCCCTAACCTTTTCTTTGTCTTTCATCTTTTTCAGCTGGACCAGTCGATGTACTTAGAGCATTAGATTTTCACAATACACCAGAAGGTGTGTCAAAAACAGCAGGGTTTTGCACAAACAGAAAGGCATCCAAGGGATCAGACACAGCATACAAAGTTCATAAAAATGCCCAGCTTAGTGTACCAATGAACCAATTATACCCAGGTAAGATCATCTAATATTCCTGTTGTGTATTGTGTTATTGACTATTCTAAATGTTAAAGAGAGTACTAAAATATATAAAAACCGTGTTTGAGTAAATGCATTTGACTAATCTGTTGGCCAAAACCTCAAAAATGAAAAAAATTAATTTTGTAGCTCACAGATTATTAGATAACTGTCAACTGGACTACATCAACTGCTGATTGTGGATTGTTGGTGGTGGGGAGGGGGATTTCACACTTACTAGGAGAGTAACCAGGTTAACAAATCAGAGGTCACATTTCCTCTCACTGTATATTTCAGACATTAAGGCTGGGTTCACACCAAGGCGTATTGAATATGCCCGTCTGTCGCGCGTTTTTTTACCGCGATTCGCGGTAAAAAAAACGTGCGACAAACGCGCGTTTCCGAGGGCTACTTGGCTGTATCTCAGTGGAAACGCCCAACAAAAACGGCCCAAAGAAGTACATGTACTTGTTTGAGCGTAGGCCGTTTTGTAGGGCGTTTCAGACGGGCGGAAATACGGAAAGGTGTGAACCATAACCATAGAAAACAATGGGATTTTCATGTTTGTACGTTTTGTAGAGCGTTCATAGAGCCTTGAACGCTCGACAAAACGTAAAGGTGTGAACAGGGCTTTAGGGTTTGTTGCCCAGTGCAGTCCTAACACAGAGACAAAGCACAAAGCCTTATCTCTTATGGTTTCAGTTCACACCAATGCACTCTGTTAGTGTGTGCTGAAAAAAAAGAGTAACATGTATGCACAGCCCCACTGCAGTGCACGGTAAAAGCAGTAAAACAAAAGAAAACAAGCCGATCATTAAAACCCAACTGTAATGCGTGTGAAAAAACACAAGTTAAAAAACTCACGCCAGTGTTTAATACGCACCCTAAGATGTGCAATTTGGGGGTGAAAAAGCCCTTAGCCCTCTGTTTCTCTTCTGCAAGGCGCTCCTGGCCAATGGCAACTGTCTACAAAATGCATATGAAGTTTGCATAGGAGGGAAGCAAAAAGACTTATTGAGCAGTTAGGAAAAGATCTGGATTCCAGTTGTCATTTTATATGGATAGGCTAGATAGGAAGAACCTTACTGGTTGCTATTGGGAACACCTTTCTCTATTAGATGGGTTGTTACATGATGTCTTGTAACATTCACAGCAATGCCCTGCAATAGCTTGAAACTTCCAGTTGTGCAGTTGCATAATTAAACCCAGACAGTCTTCATCTGTGTATTCTATGATGAAAGGTTCATATTACCATCCCTTAAAATAGTCTTTCAATAGATTACTGCATTCCATTTTACCTCTTTGTCACACTGAGGTTGCCTTTATATGAGATACAAAATTACTTGTACAAGAATGTAGCTGTTAAAAAATTACAAGAAGAACAAACATGAGAAATATGTGGTTTCATTAAAGGGTTTTAAAAGACATATAAAAGATGCATTTGAGTTTCACTAGTTTTTCCTTAAATATGAACACGCTTAGTTAACTTCTAGTCAGTATGAATTACAGTCTAAGGCTGGGTTCACACCTGAGCATTTTTCAGCGCTGATCGAAGCGTTGAAAAATGCTCAAGCAGCGAAAACCTAATAACTCCTATGGGCATGGTTCCCACCTGGCCGTCAAAACGCCCAGGTGGGCGTTTTGGCGCTGAAAAGCGACCTACGCCCGAAATAGTACTGGAGCTTCTTTGGGGCGGATTTCAGCGTGTATCCATTGGTATTCCCGAGTGTGGCTCGGGGTTAACAAAGCGGTAACCCCGAGGTACACTCAGGAATGCATCGTAGGTCTTACCTTGTCCGTGATCCCCGCTGTGTCCTCCGGCCGCCGCTGCCGTCTTCCGTGTTCTTTCCCTTGCGAGCGTCCACGTCGCAGGGGGGCGGAACCGGTGGGAAGTTTAAAAGTTAACAAAAAAAGGAAGAAAGATAGAGAAAAAAAGGAAAAAGAAAAAAGAAATCATACCGCCAGGGAGGTAAAAAACGAGCGTCGAACGCGCGTTTTATTGAACAAAAAAACTTGCTTAAAACAGGCTTAAAAATTAGCATAAAACATGCCTATTTGGAACGCCCAGGTGTGAATGCAGCCTAAGATATTAGGGAGGTTGAATTGTGCACATCCAATGCATACCGTATTAACCATAAAGCTGAACTGCAGGACTAACTTACTTCCGTTTACTTCAAGAAACTCTTTCCTGTGAAATTGTGTCAAAGTTACTTATCTTCCACACTCCAGCACTGGCACCTCTTTGGACTCCTGTGCCTGTGGGCACTTCTGGGTTATACCCAGAGTCACATGACAGTTTCTTCTATTTAAATTCAAGCGGGATGTTCTGTCACTGATCGAGCATGGTGTCATTTACTCCCAGAGCTACTGAAGTTGTTAAATCCTGTACCTAGCCTGTTCCTGGCCTGTTCATAGCCTGCACCCACAGCCAAGACACTGCTGCATGCACATCCTTAGTCTCTGTTGCTCCCTAGCCTGGACTTTACATCTTCTTCCAGTGCTGCACATGCAGTCAACGTCACCTCTGCACCCACGCCTGTCTTCATTGCATCTGCAGCCCAGCCACGGATGCACCTGCAGCCAAAATCTCATATGCTGCACCCCAGCCTTGTTTCTGCTTTATCCACAGCCTCCATTGTTCCTCAACTGTACCACAGTCTCAGCAATACCCACAGTCTCAACCTCACTATTTCTGCACCCACAGTCTTCTTTGCATCCAGATGACAGTCTGAAACTTGTCATCTGCCATTTGGGCACTCCCAGCCTCCAGCCTCACTCATTCTTTCCTCCACCTGTCCTGTGCTCAGAGTCTCTCTCTAGCTCCAGTCCCCTTTCACTCAAGCATCAACCCTCCCCTGCATATGCTATTTATATTACAAAAGGCATTTTGGACTGTGTGCTCTAATCTGTGGTCCTTAAGGGGGGTGATTAAAATCTGGCCCAGGTTATAACATCAGTTTTGCCACTTTTAAACACATTTAGATTTTATGGCTATCGCATTAAGTTTCTGTTTGACAGTAGTCAAACAATTATCTCCTCCCTAAGTAGACAGAAAGACATGCTAGTGCACATCTGTTAACCAGAACACATCTGTTTTCTTAGGGGTTTCTGCAGCTGGAATCCAGTGATGTGTAGGGCTTCCCAGCTTTGTGTGCCTGTTATAAATATGTAACTGACTGATTTTTAAAAAAATTTTTTTTATAAATAAACAAGATGTTACAAGTGTCTTTCCTATGCATCCACTTACAAGCCAAGACTCGAAAGATTCTGAAAAGACATGTGAATTTCACAGAGGCATTTAATTAACCAGTCCGCCTTTGAAGGCTGCCTCTGGCGGGGATGTTGGTGGTGGAGCAAGAGTTAAAAAGTTTCTTGGGCCTGCCCCAATCAGAACTTTACAGAATCAAAAAGAAGCTACTTAGATACACATAAAGCATATATTGCAATATAGCATTTGACTTAACTAATTTAACCTACAATACACAGGACTGTAATAATTAAACTGATGGTATTCAGAGCAATACAGGATGGCATATTGTAGCAAAAACTTTTATGATTAGAAATTAATCACAATATTTTTTTGACTGATGAACACAGAATTCTCATTTTGTAACTGCTCCCTGCATCAAATACAATATTTATTTATTTTTCACACATTTTAATGATAAAGACACAATGCACTGTAACAATTAGCATCCCGTCTCGTTTATAAATTTGGACTTAAATTATATTTAAAAGCCCTAGCACATGAAACCATACTTTTTATTCCCTCTTTAAGTTCACAAGGAACAAGTAGGGTTTGTACCAAAAAGAGAAGCCAGAAATGATACTAAAGAAAAAAATCCCAAATCCCCAATTAATTAAGCTAGATGACACTCTATCCCCCACGTTCAATAGAGTAAATTGGAATTTTCTTTGTGTATCCCTCATGAACACTGGCTTTCCACAATTGCCCGTGGACAAAATCAAGGCCTTGTACACTTTTCCCACAGCTAAAATTAGGATTAATGGTTCCCTATGCCACCCTTACTTGATTCATAATGGGACAACAAAGGGTTGCCCTCTGTTTCCTTATCATTGATAACCCTGACTTCCCTTCGGAACAAGAGTCACATCTTTCCTTCACTGGACCTCCATTAAACCTTCTTATTTGACCCAATTCATTGAACAATGGTCAGTCTAAATGCTTAGTCAACTTTTTAACCCAGCTCTACCTCCAAGGGGAGCTTGGATGCTATACCTGCAAATTAGATTGATAGAATCTGTGCCCCAAGAAGAAAAGCTACAAAGGCAGAATGCCTTCTTTAAAATGATTGGCTCTCTTTTACTTATAAAACACTCTTCTTTCATCTACTGATATGGGAGATCTTTATTATCTCAGATAATAGGAAAGGGAACTTGCCATTAAGATCTTAGCTCATACCAATATTTAGTGCTCATGCCTACACTTCACACTAAGTATGGTAAGGTATATTCAAGAAAGGAACATTAGTTACTAACCTGCTGGTATGCACTATATAAACTACATCAAATACCCCCTGACAAATGTAACCTTTGTTGGTATTGCATGTAAAAGATAGGCACACTTACACATATATGGTAGATGCATAGGTACCCTCAAGGCTGCTATACATACCCATTGGGGTACACATCAAATTGGTTGAGAAACTGCGATGTACATCATTCTGAATATCACCAGTTTTATCTTAATCACTCGGAAGTTTACTTATAAAGAGACTTGGCTAAGACTAGTTAGTGTCCATGTAGGCCATTGTAACTGGACTTGTACCTTTAGTTACCAAATAGTCAGTTTGATGCTCACTTCATATAACTAAATTATTTGGAACAAGTTGTTGCTGTATCTTCTAGGCTGTTAAATACGAAACCACTTCAAGTATGTGTAACTGGCCAGAACAAGTTATATTCTTGTCTTAGAAATTTGAGATATGTCCATTTGAAGATGATGGACACTGAAATGAACTACAATGTAAAAAATG